TGGCGATTGTAGGGCATCTGCACAATACATGCTTACCGTTTCATCTCCCTCCATGTACAGTCTGCAATGACCAGTGTACAGTCCTATTAGACCTTTGATGCTATTCCTCTTCAGCTGTACCAAAGAGTCTGTGTCCTTCTTTTTCAAGATGGGTTAACCCTGCTAATCCCTCCCAGTAGTAATGGATCCTTCTGTCCATCTCCGCAGAGATTATTTGTTTAGCCGTATTGTATGCGATCCCAATCGCTTGCTCAGTCCCTATGAAGGGTGTGCTAGCCACACTCTTTGCCATAGTGTCAGCTGTGTCATTTGTCTTGGTATCCATATGAGACGGACTTCATTTCCCTCCCCTATGCCACCGAGAACTTCTTTGCAATTCCACACTAGTTTCGATGTCGAGTAGGTGGATTCAAGTGTTTTAAGTGCGACTTGACTATCTGAAAAAATAATAGTTCTGTGCCTCAGTTGTGGTTCTGCGATGATTCTGGCACCGAGTTCTATAGCATATAGCTCTTCCTGGAAAATCGACGTCCAGGTTCCTAGGTTAACAGATTTTTTAATCTTTAGCTTCGGCACGAAGATACCAGCTCCAACAACTACCTCGGTCGTGGAGCCATCTGTGTATGCACAGATATCTTTCCTTATCAGGTTAACTTGCTGTTCCCACTCATTCCTGTGTGGAATTGTCACTGTCACATTTGATAGCATGCGGACTTATTAATTTGTCCATTTCGTCCCCTTTACGACATACCGGCGTATGTGTCAAAAAGTAGAAAATTGAGTTGCGCCGTCAAATAGTATAATTTTCATACAAGTTTCATATGACAAATCAACATATCTGTATTCTTGCTATATTTATCAAAAAACCCGATTAATCATTTGACGTATCTGAAAAAATGCTAATTAATATATGACATACAGGCGTAAGAACACATACGTCGCTTTCTCTCCAAAGAGATTTAAAAATTTGTGGCGTATCTACAAATCAGCCTTATTAGCACTATGACCGCATGATACACATAACCTCAAAAGACAAGCTTACACGTGGTTGTATGATTCTGACGTTTGTGTTGTGGAACGATGGCACGAAAAATGTCGTGTGTTCTAAAGACTTAAAAACACATAAAAGTTAGCTAATTAGGCTTGGAGGTACAGTCAAAATGATGTACGAAAACCAGAGGTATATGTGCAAGGTTATAGCGATAGAAGAGCAAGGCAAGGTTATAGCGATAGAAGAGCCAAGTGAATCATACGTATCGGAAGACGAAATACCATTGTCAAAGTATAAAGAAATGTACTGTGATGCACATGATTCCGAATCTGACGACGACAGACCACTGGCCCGTTTCAGAGATGTTCAACGATGCCATATCAGATCAAGTGGTCAACGTTTTACCACAAAACGATTATGAAAAGAGTGAAAATGATGCTCCAGAATACGACTCAGATGCTGATCCTTCTTTTGGTACGTGTGAGGTAAAGTTATGTAAAGGGGAAATATTTGCTGCCTGCCCTCGATGTGAAATTTTAGTTTGCTTTTCACACCTTCATGAAGACTTAAAAAATTGTCGTGATCATGGAAAAACAAAAAAAAATACTAGAAATGGCTACTCTGCTGGCACCAGCATTCTTCGAGTTAGATGGGCCAGAGAGCGAGGAAGCTATACCTAGCAAAATTAGAACAAATAAGAAGAGGATTGCAAAGCTTCCAAGAAATCTGGGTAAGATAGCCTTCACTAAATATTAATTACACGATTGTAATGGTTATTTTTTTACAATTTTCAACGAGGTGATTTGTAGTTCATTATCTCCATCTATTTATGTTTTACAAATAATAGTAGTTCTTTTAAAATTTGTAGATGTTTGAGTTGTCTTTGTTTATATACCAGGACATGAGTATGTAAGTCCATACTCTAGAAAGGTTGTTTCGGCTCGATCTATAAAACCACGTTGTACTTCAGCAGTCGGAAAAAACAAACTCACTTCATAAATTTTCCTCTATAGAAAAGATTTCTCTAAAATACTTTGAAACGAACCATGGCCAAAGCGAAGCTGATTCAGCACATAGTGCTATTTCATCAGCTTTATCTCGTGCTTTAAACATTTTTATACCATCACAATTACAACCAGTTATAAATTTAGCACGCAGGAAACATCCTTATAAAGTAATTAGTATGAGCCATGACGAGTTTAGCGACTTCAAGGCTTTGTCCAAAGAGCTTCGCGTTTTAAGTATAAGAGGAACCGAAGGCGGCAGCAAAATGAATTGGACTAACGTGATGGAAATCATAGTTGAAAGGTCTTCTCCAATGAATATCTTTTTTTAAAAATAGCCACCTTCAGTTAGAGTTTGATTCAATTTCCCTTAAGCGTATATCGTCTGATATCGGCACAATGAAACTATGCACTTTAAACAAGGAGCCTAACAAAATTAGTCTCCAAAAATATAATGATCTGGTGGCGTTGTGCAGTGGAGCTACCCCTGGAGTTAAAGAGACATACTTTAAAACCTATTATAGGAACCTACCTCACCATGATTGTTCTGATAAATGAACTGTTTGCTTTCCAGATCCTTAAATAATGTGTGAAGGCGCAAAATAAATCTTATGTTTTTTATATTTATCTAGAACCATTAAAAATGTTTAAGTTTATTTGTTTTTCTTGTAACAAAAATAAAATACTTTACATGCAATGTATATTTTTAATTAAATTGTAAACCTAATATTTTACCCTCCATGTACACCTATTTTCCTATAAAGTTTCAATCTACGAGTATTATCCTTATTCTGATCTCCTTAGTTAATGGCGTATCTGATGATAGTTAGTAAAAGATTTATAACAAAACGACGTATCTGACTTTTATGTAAAAAAACAAAAAACTGGATAGTTGATTCATCAATGCGACTATTTCAATTCAACCCTTAAGTCTTTCAAATTATTATGTCAAAATTGTGAATACTTCAAAATTTGCACAGCAGCGCTATAGCAAAATGATCTTGGAGCGTTTTCGTTTTTTCGCTCTCCTGTAAAATTTATAAATTGTTAGATACGCCGGTATGTCATAAAGGGGACGATTTATGTCCGTCTGACTTCATATATGAAAACTATATAGGATCTCCAATATATCTGCTTTCAAAAATGGTGGATGCTACTCGAATTTAAGAAGTTGACTTCTAAATGACATTTTATATCGGGATTCATTAATAATTTTCTTTTTTAATTTACTGAAACTTTTCTAGAAACACCTAGTTAAAGTCACAACTATGAATATTGTGACATTTGCTCCTTGAGAATATTATTATTCAAACTAAGCCGTTACAAAAATGTGTAGTCACATTTTCACACTATTTCGTAAAGCAGTGCAATTTAAGGGTTCGGTGCAAAAACCGGTCAATTCAATGTTTTATTATTAGTTCAAAATCGATAGAAGCTTTCCAATATTGTTAGTTGTAGGAATTTTCTATCGAAAAAAATACCAATTTAGTAATGGTATTGGATCATAATTTAATTCCAAACTGATAACAAAATATTTTTTTGGTTGATTCTTGCACCAAACGATGTGCAAACATCTATCCTATACGAGGGGTACCCAAAAAACCGGAATTATTTTTTAAAAGCTATTTATTTTCAACTTTTTTACAAAGTTACCTTAGTACTGCCCAGTACAACTAATACACTTGCCCCACCGGTGCTTCCACTGCTCAACACATTTTTTGAAGCCTTTCTTAGAAATGTCAGACAGCTACTCTCGTTTTTTTCTAGATCTCTTCAATGTCTTCAAAGCGTCTGGATCTACCACAATATAGGGCCATTAGTGCGTTTATTTTTCATTTAAAACGATGTCTACTAAGTGGATGAAAATGTTGACTGCTTTCATGAACATAAGCGTTAAAGAAATCAAAATCCTAATATACCACAAAGTATGATTCAACAGCTTCTTCTCGTAGTGATGAGAATTTGATGAAACACGGGTCCCTTTTGGGATAAATCGGGTTTGCGAAACAAATGCCTATCTGATAATTTCAAGACCTCCCTAGGAAATTCTGCTTCTTTGAAATAACTAAGGTATGGCAATGTCAACGTATGACTTATTATACATTTTTGGAATCATAATTAAAAATTCTATTCATCTGTGCAAATATCCAATATGGTGTCTATAATAAAAGATTAAGTTGTTGCTGGATTACAAGGACGAAATGTTATACTGAAGCTCTAAGTAGAGGAGAAAAAGTGGCAACGTTAATGTGTAATTTATTTTGAAATAAAGTCATAAAAAATTCGGGTTCTTCCGTCTCTCTCCGGGAGTACTTTGAATTTCGAAACTTTCTAGGCGGCATTATGTTCATTACCTAAATCCGCCACTTTGCTTCCATTTAAGCGAGTTCGTATTTCTTCAAAAACAAACACGGTTAAATACGTCTGTCTCCAGGACTACTGTACCAATACCGCACTTATGAGTTGCTAATGAGCACGAAACAGCGCTTTCTGTGTTTGGTCATTGTTGTAGAGACAGGAAGCAAACGTACATTTCAACCTCTTCCTTCGTGACGTAACAACAACAAAATGACTCTATACACTGTCAATGTCTTGAGATTATGTGACAGCTCTATACTTCGACAGGTCTCTGTGACTCACTAAGGCTATTTGATAGTCCACTCCACCCGTGTGATATATCCTAAAACACAGCTTTGGTCTCTACTCCGGTAACAATGATTTTCTAATAGCACTTCGATAGTACTAAGCTTAGAGTTAGGCAAAAATACTCGCTATATCCAAAAAGGCTTGAGATAAATTGAGACAAAAACGCTTTCATACATGCCCAAAAAGAAAGTTCGAAATTCGGCTTTAAAATCGAAACGTTCCCGTTCTGTAATTTTATTCGCTGCTGTAGGTGCATTTTGACCGTTGTTATTATTATATGATAAGTACGACCATCGGGTGGGGTGACCAATAGTATAAAATAGGTACCATCGACATCCAGAAATTCATTTTCTGCCCGAGCTTGGTTCAAATATTTTCAATTCAGTGTACCGGTCAACTTCGCTGGCTGATAAAGGTAAAAGTCTTTTATTTTCGATTCGATATTGACTATCTGGTATTTCTTTAAGAGTATTAGTATTAATGTGCAGTTTTGCCTTTTTTTTGCACGCTCAATCTAAAAATACTTGAGAAGCCCTGGATTTAATGTTTCAACACCATATTTCTCGATTTAATCGAAATGCCACATTATATCAAGAATGAATAAATGGTAACTTACTTATTTTCAGTAGTTTTTGAATATTGGTATTCATAATACTGCCCTTCAGGAGTTAGCCTGATTTTTTCCACTTTTTAGCACAAATTTAGCATTCTGAAAGACACATTCACCATTTTGTCCTTGTTATAGTCAATTTCGTGATAATTTTTAATTGTAAAAAAGTATGAAAAATAAAATAATAAGAAATGTCTAGTAGCTCTGATGCATTAATACGAAATATTTTCACTTTGTACAAACATACAATTTCTCAACCTCTTAAAATGAATTTTGAAGCCTGTAGAATATAAGAAATGAGATTTTAAAAAATCATATTCAAAAATCTTTATTGATATTGATCATGGCGTAGGAAGAAAAAATGGCATGAATTTCCATTTTATGTTTTTTTAAGTTTCTTTTAACCCTTCGTCTTAGTTATCAAGTTCCTTTTTGGGACATTTTTAATATAATCAAACTTAGTTTTCTGACCTTTTTAAACTTAGTATGCAGTAACAAAGTATTCGGGGAAAAATTATCAAAAACGCTTATTTTCAATGTTTCTTTACAGGTCATCCCAGCATCAAAAAATTTAAGATGTTCAGAATCTGTATGTGTAATTCATTCAAAAAATACTTTTAGCCTGAGGTCTCATATACCATAAAATCTTTATCATATGTTAAGGAATGCAAGTTTGGTAAGAGTCTTACCACTTTGGACTTTCGAATATGGTGACAAGTACATCCATGCTAAAATCTCTATATTGATACTTTTAATGCTCGAGATAAATGTTTAAAAAAAAATATCGTTTCTTCGTCATAAGTTTTTTGAGACTACAGCTATTTTCACTAAATTTGATTCACATCTATATTATGGGAAAAAACTGGTTATTTTGACGGGATCTATCACATTGTCAATTTTGTAAAGTTCTGAGCATTTTGATTTTGGGTCCCCACAACCCGCATTCATGCAGAAATTTGCCCTATTTTAACAAAAGTGCCTTTTTTGCTTAAACATATCGAGGAAATTGTTTATTTTATAAAAAAATTAAAAAACTACACTGAGAAACAAGTTGTGGCCATTTAAAACGATCCGAAGTGCAGTGTGAAGCGCTCTCAAACTTCCACAATGAAAAAATGTCTATATTCGGATTTCGCATCCCAAAAACTCCCCGGTACCAATTTTTGAAGAAATGTTCATGGATTAAAAAAAATAATTTTTATTTTCTAACTTTGCCACCCTGTATCTCGGAATCGGAGCAATTTTGGACTAAAGTAAGTTACGTCAAGTCGGCTTATTTAGAACTCAGTAATGTGCTAAAATTTTGTAAAGAGCTTTTAGGGACGCTCTGTGTATAGTGCAGCCAACTTCAATTTTTGCCATTTGACAATATTTGATTCAATTTTTTAACGCGAATTTCTTTAGCTTTCTAATGTGGTATGGCTCATAAAAATCGGTTTACCAGTAACAACATTATAAATCTTGAAACTTGAAATGGTGCTTTCTGAACCACTGTGCGGCGCAAGATTTCAAGTGCTATGACTGCGAATTTGCTGCGATTATTGTTATTCAAGTAGGCAAGGCTTCTTGGCTGATTCAGAAGCAGATATTCAGAAGCTGTTTGAAGGATTATCCTCCGATGCAGAGAGTTTCAAGTCATTTACAAGGGTTTAGCTGCTTCGAAACTGACACGCCATTTTTAAATATTTTTAAATGGAACTGATACAGCAGGTTCAGAAGACAATTGCCCAGGGTGGTAACGGAGCATTCTTTGAAATTTAGTTTTTTGGCACAAGATTTATGGTGGGTTAAAATGCCTACTCTTTTTGTTGAACTTTGCGATTTTTTTAAAGAGAGCCTATTGGAAAAAATAAATAAGTGGCTTGATTGCACCCTGTATGGTTTTGTTCTCAGTGCGCTGTGAAAATTTCATTCGAAAATATTCAAAGATGAAGCGTCAGTTTCGAAGCGCGCAGTTGTGTTTTTAAATCTTATATGACATCACGAAAAACTATATCATTTCCGTCAGACGGTCTGCTAATCCTTTGCCCGTCCATGACTTGGAAATTTCCACTATGCCGAAGCTTTGAGGTTTCAGTCTTGTGACGGCCGCGCTATAGGCAAAAAACGAAAAAAATAACAAAAGTGGAAACTCCGATTTTGACTTTCAGGGGTTTCTAATCGTTGTCATGAAAAAAATGTAGTACTTAAAAAGTGGGTGTTAGGGGACGCTGATATTTAATGTTGCATCTTTGATATGTGGATCACGGTCTATTATTAAGTAGTAATTACAGGAAATTTAAGTGACGGAAATCCGACGAATAATGTGCGTTACAGGTTTGAAGACCTGTAGATTCGGATATAGATAATGGGGATTCTTAGGCCTAGAATAGTTAAAAAAACTAAAAAAACAAGCTTTTATAGCTAACCGAATTAAAAATTAGAAAATAACTTTTAATTACAAAGAGTTTATATTACAGTACTAGATGGTCGAACAATCAATCATTATTAATGACCTCAAAATAAAATTATAATAACATTTAAGTTATTAACAGAATAATTCAATTGACATATTAAAAGTTACAATCATTCAATTGCCATCTATCTATGAGAGGAGAGTTATGAAAACTGTAGTAAAATGCACCCCAAGCTTTTTACTCTGAATTGAATTATTCTGTTGATAACTTAAATTTTATTATAATTTCATTTTGAGGTCAGTGATTGTGACTGATTGTTCGACCATCCACTATTATAATATAAATCCTTTGTATAATTAAAAATTGTTTACTACTTTTTAGTTCGGTTAGCTATAAAAGCGTGCTTCTTCAGTTTTTCTAAACTATTTCAAACACGTTTTTATTATAATGCTCACAAAGCTAATTTTGACAGTTTGTAACTAATAAACAATTTATTTGTTTCCAAGGATGATGCGAATTAAGCCGTTTCATAAAAAACGTGCTAATAACCGAAAAAATAGCCGTAAAAACTCTTATATGTATACAGAAAAACTACAATTTGCGTTTTTGACCACCTTGTATGAGCAAAAATCAAAATTGCAAAAATTAACAAATGAGATAAAAGCTGAGGTGTGTGAGTTTTTTTTTTTGATATAAAATTCAGCACTCCAAATTTCAAAATCGCGGACTGAGGGGTTGCCGAAGTGGGAGGTTTTTCTAGACAAAACACCTTATATCTCAGTAGCTAATTACCAAAACCGCATAGTATGTTATATCAATTTTCTTCTTCTGAATTGGTTTATCCAAATATGCAATAAAATTTGAGACATTCTATTAGAAAAATCAAAACTTTGATATTTAGATCGAAATTGGGACACCCTGTATAATGACCAATATTTTAGAAATGTGCCCTCAAATGTCATGTATAATATGCCATATATAGATTGTCCCAAAATGTATTTGTTTATGAGTAATATATTCCGTCCACACATGGATGAGCCACCTGTATATACAGGGTGACTTCGAAGTTGAGTCATTTATTTTAACAGTGAGTAGATCTGATCAAAAGAAATGTTTTTTTCCTTTACCTGGTAAAATTAAAGTAACAAAGTTATAGCCCTTTGGAAGTTTGAGTACCGCCCTGTCTCAATAACAATATTATGTGGTCGTGTTTGGCGACAATGGATATAATCCGCCGTATCGGTTCATCGCATCGGAAACAAAAAAGCGAAAGAATTTGGAACGATGTTTTTACAGGTATCTCATTCATTTGTATACAGTTAGTGTCAGTGAATAGTGGTATTTGTTGCGTGGCTCAAACGAAATAAAAAATGACACATGTTTATGCGGATCGGTTTCCCAATCGAGTGCAACCAACCCCTCGTGCCTTTGTTAATGAAGTACAACGGGCTTGTGAATCAGGTGACTTAAGACCTCACAGGGGACCTCACGATCAAATACAGGTCCGCACTGAAATACTTGTAGGGAGGATACTTTATAAAACAAGGTAAAAATTTTTTTTTATTTTTACACACATATTTTGGTTTATCTTCCTTCTACAATCATTATCTGAAAATTAATGTCTCAACTTCAAAGTCACCCTGTATATATATATACAGGGTGTCCCGAAAAAAGTGTGCAACATTCTACCGGTTTCTAGAGCTTAAAATAGGAAGAAAAGTTTATATGAACAAAGGTCGACAAACGTCCCCTAAGGGCGCTACGGTCTTTTAAAGGGGCTCCCCTGAAGATGGTTTTTCATTAATGTTTCCGAAACGTGTTGAGATAAAGACATAAAATTTGGTATTCTCACCTAGTTTTTTATGCTGGATTTAAAAATATTAACAATTTTAGACAGCTTTGTTTGGAAGCGTATGTATCAGGGACGGACAGGTTAATTTAGCCCCAAAATTTTTGTGTGATTCTATTTTTGAAAATCAATTTTAGAATTTGCAAATATAGGGTTTTCTAAATAAAAAGGTACTCTTATTGAATATCGAACTAAAAAATTTGTCACATGATAGGAAATGTACTGCGAATTTAAATGAATTGTTGAATAATTAGCCATGAGAACGAAAAAAATAATTTAATAATAGGTAAATATTACATGAATACATATTTCTATTGCAACATAGCTAACATTTAGGCAAAAACAAAAGAAATAAATTTTTTCTACGAACGAAGTTGAAATTTGTTTAAAAAAGAAGACATACAGTTGGATATACATAAAACTAGCTTTACAATAAGTGTTCAAATAAATTCCCATTTTGTTCGACAAACTAATGATTGCGTAGCCCGAAAAGTGGAAAACCTTTTTCTTCTTATTTCGTTTGCAGCCTGATGGATTGTTTGAAGTAAATCTTCTTGAGTATTTACTTCAGTCGAGTAAACTAGGTCTTTTAGTGACCCCTAAAAATAGAAATCCAATGGATTTAGGTCAGGTGAACGTGGCGGCCACGCTATAGGACCTGCTCGGCCTAACCACCTGTCTGGAAAATTGACATTCAACCAATTTCGAACATTGCGTCCAAAATGTGCAGGGGCGCCATCATGTTGAAAAAACATATTTTCTTGAAACTGCTGGTGCACATCCAATGGTATTATATTCATGAGCTTATTCTGAAGAAAGTTCAGCTACACCTCTGAATTAAGACGATTGGGATACTTCCCAATTACTTGATCCCCAATTACTCCTGCCCATAAGTTCAACGAAAATCTATGTTGGAATTTGTACGGCGATCAACTTTTGGATTTTCATCTGACCAGTGATGCATGTTACGGAAATTAATGCACCATTCCTAGAAAATATTGACTCATCCGACCATAATATTCTAGGAATAGTGTTTCCATTTGCTAATATTCACTGGCAAAACTCGGTTCGTGGTAAAAAATCTGCCTCCGTTACGTGCTGCACCCGTTTAAAATGATAAGGATGTAAACCTTGCATTCTGGTCATTCTTCCTATCTAAAATTATTATTTTTAGGATAACTATCAAATAGGTATTCATAAATTTTTCTATTGATCGAGGTTTATCCATAATTTCTGAAACATTTCGTATGCTTATTTTCGGATTATTTTCAAACATATTTAAAGCAATATCCATACGATGATTTCCCAGTGGCCTTCCTGAGTCCTGCATGCGCTGAAAACTTCCATGGTTTGACAAATTCCGGTGAATATCAGTAAACATTCGACGTCCAGGTACTATGGGAAATCTTCTTTGATATTCTCTTACGGCTGCCAATGAACTGCCACTGCAAAACCCGTACACAAAATGCATGTCAGTCAGTTCTATGTCTGTAAATCTTGGCATCTTAAATCGATTTAATAAAAATTTTGACTTTAATCTAGTAATCTTACACTGCTAACAATGTCAGCTTAACGTCAAAATAAGTCATAACAAATCAAAACAACTTTTGTTTGCAGTCATGGCTAACTATGTATAATCAACAATTCATTTAAATTCGCAGTACATTCCCTATCATGTGACAAATTCTTTAGTTTGATTTTATTCAAAAATGGCACAATTTAATGATATTAAAGTACCTTTTTTATGTAGAAGATCCTAAATTTTCAAATTCTAAAATTGAATTTCAAAAATAGAATTACACAAAAACGTTGGGGCTAAAATAACCTGAGTTCGTCCCTGTTACATACGCTTCCAAACAAAACTGTATAAAATTGTTAATATTTTTGAATCCAGCATAAAAAACTAGGCTAGAATACCAAATTTTATGTCTTTATCTCAGCACGTTTCGGAAATATTAAGGAAAAACCATCTTCAGGGGAGCCCCTTTAAAAGACCGTAGCGCCCTTAGGGGACGTTTGTCGACCTATGTTTATATAAACTTTCTTCCTATTCTAAGCTCTAGAAACCGCTGGTAGAATATTGAACACTTTTTTCGGGACACCCTGTATATATATATATATATATATATATTCATACATACATACAAGCAAACATACATACATGCATACATATAGGTCAAGCTGATAAAAGCGTGTTAAAAAAATAAAAAAAAGTATACAAAAATCTGCCTCTTGTGAGGATCGAACTCACGACCACTTGTTTACGAGTCCAGTGCTTTACCACTTGGGCTACAGAAACTTCTAATCTCAACGTTCGTAAAGCGGCATTTAAAGTCCGTGGCTTTTTATTAGCAATCTGCTTTTTGCAGAATTTTTCTTATAAAGATAATGGAAAACTGTTATCAAATTATTGGATTGTCATGGGTGCTTGATACGTTTCAAATTAATCACACTTCTGGAAATTGGTGAAAATTATGCTCAAAGATTCCGTTACATGCATACATACAGGCCTAAGCGTGTTAAAAAAAACAAAAGATATTATAATGTAGTTCTCAAAAATTTGATAACAGAGCCGGTTAAAGTGAGTAGTTTAATCCCGTTGAAACTACAGGTTTGGATAGTTTTTGACAGCTCCCATTACAGCACCATTGCTGGATTCCGATGAATGGAAACTAGACTTCTGAAACTCTCAATCTAAACGTTCGATAATTCCATCCATCAATCTGCTGCTATGAACAATTCAAACCATATTATCTATTTTGTTTTACCTTGTATAATTAGCAGGATGTGAAGACAACATACGATGGGATTTTCCTAGACCGTGGTATTCTAAGCTATACCGATGCGTCAATTAAATCTACTTGACATTTTTGCAGAGTGAACATGAGGGCCCCAATAAAGAAATCTCGGAAGAAGGTGGTAAATCTAGAAGACGTAATCAGGACGAAGCCCTTTCCACATATCCCCACGGTATCATCCTTATATACAGGTATTCCAGATGATCCATCTCCTCCTGAAGAGCCTGATGTACTTCCTACAGTGCCCGAAGTTCCTGAGGAGCCTGAAGAGGACGAGGAGGACGAGGAGGAGCACGAGGACGAGCACGAGGACGAGGAAGACCCTACCTGCTGTCAAACATTTCGCATGAGAAGGTAGGGGGTGTAAAGCTCGAATACACGTTGATTCAGAATGCGAGATGTGGCTCACAAGAGTTCCAGTTTTGCTATAGTCAATCCTATACTATAGCTGTGACTATAGGTACAAAGTGTAAAGTTAGTAGTGGTTCAACGGAAGTCAGGTGATAGACGGCCTCAAAACCTATGGAATAAACCCCTATATGGGTGGTCCGAAATTTTAGTAGTAGTAGTTCAGGAGATAATTGCAATTTTGTGAAATTTCGAAAAAAAAACGGGACTATGAACTCTCAGCTGCAATTACAACTAAATCATTCGGTTTAGGGCTGTGACTCTTTTCTGAGATGAGTTAAATGGTTAGTTTTAGCAATGGTTATGTCACTTTATAACAGAGCCTATTAGAAATAAACGCAAAAAAATATTGAAATTCATTTTTTTGTGAAACATTACTTCCATCCCTCAATTGTGGAGGGCAGTAAAAAATTGAGTTTGTATTTCATTATTCATTTTATTGTAAAATCTATTTAAATCCATGTAGAATAAACCCTGAAAATTTCAGGTTGCTACGATGAGTGTATCATGTCACATTCGTTGTTGTGATGCGATAAACGTAAGAAACGCAACAGAATACTTACCACCTACAAGTACAGAACCTGTTGTGTTTCGTCGCTCTTCATGGCGATTTACCGACAAATGTGGAAGACAATTTGATTTAACTAAATTTTGAAGAACATGTTCGGAGTGGCCTCCATTATTTTCTATACAAAAAAATGTCCTTTAGTATTTGAAATGAATTTGCGTTTTCCATAATTTTTATTTTTTTACTTCATCAATTTTCTGGCGCAGTTGGTTGACACTCGTATATTCAGATGTATAGATTATCCCCTTATTAAACCTCCATATAAAAAATCTAGAGGATTTAAATCGGGTGACCTTGGAGGCCATCGTATGTGTCCAACTCTACCTATCCCACGCCCAGGAAAGGCTGTCTAAGTCACAAAAGATATACACTGAAAAAGGTTTACTTCCATGCTACTCAATGGCAACACGGTGACTTGTGTGGTTGTCAGCGGCCATTTTTTGAGGGTGCGACATGGTTGCCAGACTGTGCATTAATATCCCGCAACGTTGCCAGCTCTACATATAAATCTAAAATTACTATACTTTTATATATATGAATTTGGTGGGATATGGGAGATCTTATTACATTTTGCGCTCTCTTGAACTATAATTTTTTTTTGTATGTTAAAATAGCAATGTCAATAACACAAGCTGTTATAAGATAACTCATATCTACGTACTAATCTGGAAAGGTTCAGAAGAAAAACGTAAACTGCAAATACCTAAATATGTATATATTTGATATACGAATCTCATACATTTTTCTACAAACATATCAGTATTAACATTATTATGGTCCAGATGTTTTCATTTCCGAGCCCTTGTTGGCACCTGCATAAACTGAAAATTAGAAAAAAATTGAATTGTGTTGATATGTTACTACAATTCACATATTTCTTTTTTTTATTAGAACAATAATATTATTGTCCACCGGTACCCACAGGAATTTTTCTCAGTGGTGCTGATCATCATCAAGAGATAACTGTTACCACGATTCCCCTGACACCGCCCTGTGGGCACCCAAATATAACTATAAAATTTCGGACCACACATATAGGGGTTCATTCGATATGTTTTAAGGTCCTCTATCACCTGACTTCGTTAACCCACTACTAACTATACACCCGGTATGTATGTAGGCGGCAAGGCTTTGGTATCTCGCATTTCGAATCCTGCATTCTGGATTGTTGAAGAATTTAATCATGTTCGACCCTCAGCCTATTTGAAATAGCTCTTGATTTTATCCAATTTGAGGGCCCGTTAAAGCGTTGCCGCAAACTGAGAAAACCCATCTAGTCTTGGAAGTACTCGACATGAATGTTGATAAATTTTTACTTTTTGTCCCACATGAACGTATTCAGGAAAGGTAAGGGGGACAGCCGCCCCCCTTTCAGGCCTCAGAAAGTAAAATGAGAAGACTATTTTTTACATGATAGAAAAATTGTCTCTGTAGTCTTAACGCCAATATATGCTGAATGACATAGAATTTGGTTTCGTAGAGCCTTCAATGTTTGTGAGGTGAATTTTGCGACCTTGTTTCCACCATGTCCCATACATGTTCGATGGGGGAAAGGTCTGGAGATCGAGGAGGCCACTGGAGCAGATTTACTCAGGATGAGGTTTCTATCAAAATCCAATAAATAATTCTGGGTGTTGCATTTTATATGTCCCTTAGGATACAGGGTGTTCGAAAAATAGACATATTTTAGAGGGTGATTCCTTTGTTAAAAAATATGAAAAAAGGTTTATATAAGCATGGGTTCTCAAGATACAGTTGTTTGATTAAGCATATAAAAATATAACTTCTTTGCCGCTTGTATTTTTTTCGTATCTCACTTCGTTTTCGAGAAAAAAAAATTAAAATCGTTTAATTGCATGTCACTACATAAAATTGATTTGTTAATTTTTGCAAAAAAAATAATTTCTGTAATTTTATTTGCGAAATTTCTCTAAAAAGTTGAATAAAAATTATCACCCAGTACCTTGGAAACTCATGCATGCATTTCCGGATCCATGTTTATAGAAACTTTTTTCGATATTTTCACCCTCTAAAATATCTCCGTCTATTTTTCGAACACCCTGTATATTAGATACTAAGGTATTTGGGACTAGTTATTTGACTTATTCAGAGAGTCTTCGAAACACTGTTTTCAGATAACATATCTTCAACTCTATGTATCTTGCTGTTATAATGCAAAACATTTTTATGACCGAGCTAGTCAGGAAAATAAATATACGTGGGATTCTCAAATTATTTCAAAGCAAAGTCCGTCCGACGGTAGAAATGAAATCTACCACAAAAGTGTGGTAACTTTATTACAATCGTCTTAAAATAAACTTTGTTTTAAATGAAACTAGTATGGTTATTTGTATTCATATTTTAAATAATTTGAATTTGGAAAAACCGATTGAGAAACATCGATGAAATATCCACAAACAGAAATTCCTTCCGCTCTGATTTTCAAAATATGGGGCAATATGTTTTAATATTCGTAACAACAAATTAATAAAGAATCGTCGGACGTTGTTTACTGGATAATATCGCTTACGCATATTGGTAGATTTGCATTTGAAATATGAAAAATGGGATCGCAAATTTTGTTTTTTCATACCGCCACAAAATCAAAAAGACACTAAATGGAAGATTCATATTTATGTTTTACTGGCTGTTAAATGAAACCATATACGTCGAAGGAAAATCTGGTTGTCGTTTCGGTGGTCGTCTTTTTCACCGAGGTGGGCGAAATGCAGTAAGATTTTTCTTTCCACATGGAACATGGAAAGAAATCTGAGAGACATCCGCAAGATCAGTTTTAGAAGCTGCATCAATAAATCTCAAGCATGAGGGGTTCTAGAATTTTTGATCTGATGACCAGTTTGTGACGGCGTTTTCACGTGCTCGTGCTCCTGATGTGTAACATCTGAAACTTATCCTGATTTTCATGCAGATAATCACTTTTGTCTAGCCGAATCCAGCCTCATATTTTTCCACCGAAGCCTTAGCGCAGGGCACCGCTACTAGACTATTCCACAATCTCGATACCCTAGGGACAATGGAGCGATCGTATCGGCCAGTTCTGAATGTACGAACTTCGACACGGTTAGGATGCGACGCCAAAGTTAGGCGGGTCTGTCTGGCAGGCTCATAGCGCGGCGGCATCATGGAAGAGAGCTCTGAGGTGTAAAGCCCGTTGTTGTAGAGGTAGAAGAGAGCTAGATCGCCGACGGCCCGCCGGTGCGAAATAGTCCGAGACTGTCTGTTAGAGAAGTCATCGATCAGTCCGACCGCCCTCCTCTGGACAGCATCGAGCATAGATAATGTAGTCGGGGCGGCAGCACCCCAAACGTGTGAGCAATACTCGAGACTAGGCCTTATCTGGGCCTTGTATAGAGTGAGAAGGTCATGCGGAGAAAAGTACTTCTTAGCCCTAAGCAAATAGCATAGCTTTTTCCCAGCAGCTTCAGCTATTGAGGAGATGTACTCGTGCCAGATCAGGTCCTCGGTGACCTGGACTCCGACCAGCCGAAATGAATTGCTTTTTGGCAGAACTCGGCCATCCATCGAAACCGGCTGAGCGCTAGGACGCTTTTTGTTCGTCAAAGTACAGTACTGTGTTTTGGAAGCATTGAACTGTATAAGATTGGTACTTCCCCAAGCAGTGATAGCCTCCAGGTCTCTTGTCAGAGAGGAAGTCGTCGCTAGTCTTCTTTTTTCCAGATCAGTGGCAGAGATCGGCTTGTCACTCTGAATTCCTGCATGTAGAGTCCTGTCATCAGCGAAGCTATGGACTGGGTTGATCGTGCAGGAAAGGAGGTTGTTTGTCAAGAGCAGCGACATGAGCCGCACCATAAGACTGGATGAGTTTACTCCACAATTGCGTGACGTAAGCTAGGAGGTCCCCTGTGGATCGTTGGTGCTGGAAACCATACTGCCTGTCGCTAATCAGCCTGTGGCGTTTGAGGTAGTCCAGAAGCTCGCGATTTATGCACCTCTCCATCACCTTACTTATAACAGAAAGCAGAGCTATAGGCCTGTAGTTGTAAGGGTCCTTAGATCCTTTTTTTGGGATGGGTTGGACATGAGCAAATATCCAGTTTTCGGGAAGGTGCCGGATTCATAAGATGCACACCTCTTCAGTACAATGGCAGGAATCAAGTCCAGACCAGAAGCTTTATGCCTGAATGTTACCTCCCGCATAGTGTAGGGAACCCTTTGAATTGACGGCACTTGGGCGTTGGGGTGACGTCCATGGTGGAGTTGGCAGCAAAGATCTTGGCTATCACTTCCGCCTTGGCCTTTGAGTCAAATACAATAGTTCCATCCTGACACGTAAGTGGTGGAAGGCTACTGTGTGAGAAGTTCTTTTCAATCTGTTTGGCTAGCGTCCAGAAAGACTGACTGCCATTGTGCTGCGACATTACCCTGTGCCTAGCTTTTATATCAGCGGATAAATTTGGGTGATGTTTTGGAGTTGAGGCGAAGCCACAGAATGTAATTCCGGTCTGACTCCAAAGAAACATCTCTGGAGCAGTAAAGGCTGCTGCGGACAAAAGCCACAACTCTCCCGTTCTTTCTCGTAGTTTTCGAAGTTAAGATGGTTAATCGGTGCAGACTCTGAGATTTTTGTCTCCGCCAAGAAAAGCATGGCGAGACGATGAATTGCAGGTAGTGATGAACAGCATCAATGTTGCTGTTAATCAGGCAGATGTTCGAAAAACAAATTTCATCCTCGATGTTTTTCCCTCGAGCCCACCCTCCACCTGGACATTCGTGCCAGATCAAGTTCTCGGTGATCTCAACTCCGACCAGCCAAAATGAGCGGCTCCTTTGTAGAACTCGGCCATCCATCGGAACAGGATGTGCGCTAGGACGCATCTTGTTAGTCATTGTATAATACTGAGGTTTGATTCGGCCAGACAAACATGGAGGATTAAGCTAGACTTATCAAAACGATCGCGTGATTGGCAGTTGTTCCAATTTACCCTAAGATGGGGAGGACGTCACTCAATTATTATTGTACACAGTTTTATTAAACTTTTCTAGCAAGCAGGCATGTTGTACCTGCGAGAAGGAGCGAAGACTATAGAAGTTACTGAAATCTCAGGTTGCAGTACTTGCTGTAATTTTCATCTTGTTTCTGATAGGGTACTTATTGCGGCGGTACGTCGGCTCCTAGGTAAGTTATTTCTGCTATTTCTTGACGGCTTGGCAACTATCTTCCGATCTACGAGGGTCATTTTTGGAGTAAGAACTGAATGCGCATCCTGCTGTGTTTATTATGGCAGTACTGTTTGCCTGTTTCTGCTGCGGCATTGATCTTACATAGAAGGATCGTTCGCTCATATTTCAAATTATTACCGGGATCGGAAGCTTCTCAATAAATTGTACACGTTTTGAAAAATCATAAAAAAAACTACAAAGCATCGGCAAGATAATGTATATTTTTAACACGATTTTTTATTAGCTTGGCCTGCATGTATGTATGTAACGTATTCTTTGAGCATAATTTTCACCAATTTCCAGAAGTTTGATTAAGGCTTGATGACAATTTTACATTATCCTTATTAGAATCGCCAGGATTGATAAATTCTTTTATAGATCCTGTGTAGAGGAGTAAGAGAGATAGAGCTAGCGCGCGATCTGCGCATGCGAGCAGTTTGGGACTTACTCTTTGTTGGTTCGGGCACAGCACAGCGGAGGCAGACACTTTTTCAAGGTAGTGAATTCTCACCTTGTTCATTGCGAATGTTGCTATTAATCCTGAGTTGGGCTTCGAACGTCCACAAGATGCGAGGTTGTACTGTCGATCATGCAGTCATTTATCTAGGGTCGCGACTGTTCGCTGCTGGACAAGCTTATGTTGCACTTAGTGTGTAAGATCTTTAGACATTATTCGGATTTTATTTTATTTTATTTTTATACATAATTGCCCTACAGAACTATTCCCATCAGAGGACAATGTCATGGTATCCTTACTTATAATACATACATATAATGTATACATAAAACTAGCTTAAAAACAGAATTAGGTGTTATAATAGTACCTGAAATTCGACAAGATCTTACTGATACAATCAAAATTAATGTCATAACTGTCTGCTATGGTAATTATAATTGTTGCATATAGAATGTAGCGGAGAATAAAATGATACATTGGTACGGGAGGTGCAGTAGAAAGTTAGAGTTCTTCTCGTATTTAACCGTGGGATACAGAAATTTAACCTCTGGAGAGGTTCTAGTGCATCCACTCTGTCGTGCAAAAACTGATCAAGGAATGACAGGCCAGCAGTGGAACGTCTTAACTGTAGAGACTCTAGTTCAAAACGACGCAGCAAAACAAATTGAGAGACCCCCTTTTCTGGATAGGTGCCATCGATCTTATAAGCACAGTATTTAAGAAATTTTTTTTGTACATTTTCTAAGATATTTATTCAGGGTGGCGCATCGAAAACGAAACAGACGCATTTACTGGCAGCTCAGTTTTTTTTAAAAACGCTCGGACCCATCGATTTTGTTTTCGAGGGGACACAAGTTTGGCAAAAAATCACGTTAGCACGTGCAGCCCCCTAAGAGGGGGTGGCACCACCTCCAAAACCTTAATTGGAAAGGGGGGTCGAGTGATATCTTATTTTAAAGATCTTTCAATTCCCTTTATAATGATATATAATTAATGTACTTCAGTTCAGTAGTTTTGGAGATTTATTGATTTAAAGCTTAAATAAAACTAATACATCATCATTAGTGGAGATCAATACATTTGGCAGCAAAGTAATTTAAAAATGAAGAATGAACTGCCCGTTAGGCAAGTAAATATTGAAAATGGCCACCATAACTCTCCATGCAATAATAAAGATTTTGCTCATAACGTTGCCGCACATTTTGCAATATTTGAGGAGTAATTTGAAGGCACTCATTCACAATTCTTTGTCGCAGGTCTTCTAATGATGTTGGCTGAGTAGCATAGATTTTGCTTTTTAAATGACCCCACATAAAGAAATCCAAAGGTGATAAATCTGGCGATCTTGGGGGCCATTCAATGGCACCTCTTCTACCAATCCATCGATCTGGAAACTTCTGATCTAAATATTGTCGAACACGTAATGCGTAATGTGTTGGGGCACCATCATGTTGGAACATTAACCTATTCGCAATGTACCGCCGATCATTCCGATTTTCAATTATGGCTGTTAATCCAGGATCTATGGCGTCTTCCAGTAATTCCAAATACATTTCACCGGTTAAATTTCCAGGTCATAAAAAAGGACCAACTAAATGATCGCCAAAAATACCAGCCCAAACATTTAATTTTTGTGGCTGCTGTGTATGAATCTCATGATAAATTCTGGGATTAGAATCGAACCAATATCGGCAGTTATGACGATTTACTACGCCATTCAAGAAAAATCAACATTCGTCGGAAAAGCAAGTGTTGAATAGGAAATGTTCATCGTTTATAATTCGTTCACTCATATCTTCACAAAATTGTAATCGCCGATCCAAATCGTCTTCATTAAGTTCTTGTTCCAGGTGAATTTTATACAGATGAAAACTATGGGCCTTTAGAATCCGTTGGACAGTACGTCGACTAACACCACACCAATTTGCGGGTACTTAACGTACGATCTACGTAAACTTGCCCTAAAACCCCACTTCTATTGCTTCGTTTCTTATGGGATTTTCAATGTTGCGTTTTTTACTGGCGACTGACCCAGTTTCCCGAAATTTAGCTACAAGTTCTAGAACATATTTTCGATGCACGTTACTGTTCTCATGTCGATCATTAAATAATTCTGCTGTCCTATTAGCGCATTGATTATTTCCGAAAAATATTTCGATAATTTCAACTCTTTCTGCTGTGGAATATACCATGGTTAATTTATGTAATAAAGCGTTACAAGTTATTTTAGCAAAAAAGTTTGGTCAAATCAATCGCAAACTATGTACTAAATTCCTATTTAAAATAAGTGCGAGATATTTCCTTATCTTTCTTCAAGAAATAACTTTTATGCTACAAAAAAAGCTCCAATAGCTATTTTCAACAACAAAATAATAAACAAACCATGGGCGTAGTGAAGAAAAGCATTTACTTATTAAGTAAATTCTTTTAGTCAAATTTCTTCTGAAAGTAGTACAAAATAATCTGATGTACCTATTAAAGTCTGCTTTAAGCTTTAAATCAATAAATCTTCAGAACTACTGAACTGAAGTACATTGATTTCATACCATTATAAAGAGAATTGAAAGATCTTTAGAATAAAGTATCACTTGAGCCCCTTTCCATTTAAGATTTTAGGGTTGGAGTCACCCCCGCCTAGGGAGTTGCACGTGTTAACGTGATTTTCTGCCAAACTTGTGTCCCCCTCGAAAACAAAATCGACGGGTCTGAGCGTTTTTTCAAAAAAAACTGAGCTGCCAGTAAATGCGTTTGTTTTGTTTTCGATGCGCCACCCTGTATAATACGCATAGAAAGGGTTCCATATCAAAGAAAGCATACTCAGTTTTGGTCGCACCAGTGAGATAAAAAGAGCTTTTAGTGCCGCTTCGTTGGAAAAAGATCGGCAGTTACGCGTTATGCAACCCAGAATCCGTGTCGCTTCGGAAGTGACGTGTGCTACATGGGCAGACAAGTCCAATCTACAGGAAAATGTTACACCAAGATCTTTAGTCTCTGTTGTTCTGCCCAAAACCGCATTATTTATGGAGTAATCAAAAATAATCGGATTCATTTTACGACAATATGAACATACTTTGCATTTGGAAAAATTCAAGAAGAGAATATTATTGTCGCACCACTGTGTGATGGTACGCAGATCGTCCTGAAGGGAAACACAGCTCTCCAAATTTGTAATTTTGATGTAGATTTTCAGATCATCAGCAAATAGTAGAGATTCACACTTTAGCGAAGCGGCTAGGTTATTTATGAAGAATAAAAGCAGCAAGGGACCTAGTTTTGAACCTTAAGGTACTCCAGAGGGAACAGTATAATTAGCTGAAGAATAACCATTATAGTAAGCATATTGCGTCCTATTAGAAAGATATGAGCTTAGAAGACCGACTAACGAGTCACCAAGGCCGAAATAATGAAGGCTATCCACAAGAAGATGATGGTTTAATTTGTGGAAAGCCTTGCTGAAATCCATGTAAATAACATCGACTTGGTGTTTATTGTCTAACGATTCTGCTATATACTGCGTAATTATCATTAAATTTGACGTAGTGGATCTACCTTTGATGAAACCGTGCGGTGATGGTGTAATTAGGCTTTTAACGTTCTCGAAGATAAAAGAGTCAATTGCCATTTCCAAAGCCTTTGCAAAGTTTCAGGACCGGACACACCTTTGCTATCTTCCAAACATCAGGAAAAATTCCACTTTGTAATATAGCATTGAAAATTATCAGCATCGGCTTGACAAAAACATGAGCACAATCTTTAATAATAAAACTAGGTATTTGATCTCTACCAGACGTAAGTTTATTTTGAAGCTGAGGGAGGTTCCGTTAATTCCTCTAGATAAATACATGTTGTTGAGGTGACGCTATCTAAAGAAGAGGGAATATTTCGAGGAGTAAAATACACACTCTTAAAATAGTCAGCAAATGCATCAATAACACCTTGTGGAGTATTAAATACGTTGCCATTGAACTGGACTTGGCTTGGTAATCTGCTAGAGTCTCTTTTGTTCCGAATGTATGACCAGAACTTCTTCGGGTCGTCGACTATACTGTCCTCGACCGAGGACAAGTACTCAATGTAAGCAACTCCAGTTTGCCCCTTTATGATTCTGCGCAATCTAGAAAACTCATTGTTATAGTAAACATTGCTTGTTCTCTTATATTTTTTGTAGTAGTAATCCTTCAAATTTATGTTACTCATAATTTCTCCAGTATACCAAGGAGGATACCTGAATTTGCAGGTATGCGTATATTTAGGAAAATAAATATCAAATATTGAAAAAGCATAAAATGTATTCGCATAGTTCATTAACATCTGTAATTTTACGTAAGAACTTGATTCCTCTAAGTTAAGAGGAAAAACCCCACGCAACAGCGAAGCTTTAAATGAAATGATTAGATTCCGAAATGATTCGTAAGGCATTTCAGTACCACATGTCCACAAAAAACTAATTGATAAATAGAACTAAGAAATGAAAAATGAATAATAGTTTGAACACTACTAATACACACGCTTTTATAGCTAACCGAACTTTACCTAC